CCAATTCCATGTTTCAGGAATTGAACCCCAACACTACGGCTGTCAGCAAAGCGTGAGATAACCTCACTCCTATCCTTCACACCACTGGACTATGCCTAGGGAGGCGAGATTTTTGAAAATTAGATCAATAGGTGGAGGGTATTGTGATATTTAGCCATTTTAATTTTATCAAAACATAAATGAGCCCAATTGAGCATTCACACAAGATCCAAAATTCTAAAGGTTCATTTGATTGTCAATATTTTTCATGGAAATTATGTTTTTTACTCAAATTTCTATTTTTGTATTGTTTGATTACCATTTTTCCATGAAAAACATTTTCTTACTTTTGGTCGGGTGATCATATTTTTCTCAAAATAAAAAAAATATATTTTTTAAGGGGAAGTAGGATTTTATTTTTCAAAAAATTCAATTTCTCTCTCTCATCTACCAACCAATAAAAATGAACAAGTATAATATTATCTAAATTAAAAATTAAATTAATCAAATATATTTACTTGATAATTTTTATGTAAATAAATTTTAGACAATTAAATTATCCAAAATTTATTTTCTTCCAATCAAATGCATCGTGAATGTCAGGTGGGAAATCTTTACGAAAGTAGGAAATCTTTATGAAAGTAAGTGCACTAACCCACTCCCAATATACCCGTAGTATAGTCAATTGTGCAGATTTGTTTATGACTTCCATAAGCCATATCTTTTACTTTTTCTGGGTTTCACTGTTTGTGACCTTTTGCACCATTCTGAAATCTTTGGAAATAAGTGTAGAAAATTGGATTTTTGATTGTACTTTATAGAGTTTACTGTTGGCTTTCAATTTCTGTGAAAAATTTACCGCTCCGCCCTTTTTAAAAAAAATAAAATAAAATAAAATAGAGCATGTCTTAACTGAATTATGGTGGACAATGCTTGTAACTGTGAGATTTTATAATTTATTCTGTTGATGGCCTCATATACCCTGATACGGCAGGGCTCGGCGGCCTCTTTCATCGGAGGTCTTCCGTGAGGGATGGCTTGGAGCATTGTCTCTAAGAACTTTCTGTGTTCTATAATCGGGTTCTTTATCTTGGATCAGAAAGTTACTTTATGCTCTAGTTATGTATATGAATTGTTCGACAAGCAGCTGCTTTTTGTGGATGCATTTTGTGGTTATGGCTTTTTGTTTTGATCTTTAGTTTGGATCCTGATATCTTTTGATGTCTGTGACTGTTTATGCATTTAGGGGAATGACTATTGATCCCTCATCTTGTTCTTCGCATACTGTTGATTTTGTTTTAAAATTCAAATCTGTGAAGTTTGGATTAGCTCTCTTCTCATATTCGTATGTAGTTCCCATGGATTTCAATAAGAGACTAGGTGGTAGATAAATTTGTATTAACTTAACATGGTATGTAACTTATAATGATGCAAATTACTTAACAGCTTGATTTTAAGAAGTCAAGCATTTCAAATTAGAATTAGAGGCTTTGCAATCATTTTATTAGCTTCAAGCTTAATTGAGAAGCTTTAATCATTGAAAACACTTGGGTTAATTAGCATTTCGACTCTGGCCACTATTGTTTGTGTTGCATTGACATATGAATTTTTATTTGTTCCTACTGTGCTCTTCAAGACGCTGTTTTTCAAGTTTTTATTTGTTTCCCATTGGTTGATTATTACAACTTGTTTAATTCTTGAATTAGAAACCTTGAATTAAACTCCATAAAAGGAGAAGAACAAATATAATGGAATCGGAATAAATTCCATGAAAGACGCTCCATGAAAGGAGGAAGATAAACCTCCATGAAAGGAGGGATTGGAATACAATCCAATGATTTCTCAACGCATACAATGACTCTATTTATAGAGAAAATGGTAGAGTAATTAACTAACTTTCTAATTAATCAACCAACTAACTTAACTAACAAACTAATTAACATAACTACTAACTAACATTGACAACTGGAGATAAAATCTCGGTGGAATCTGAACTGTTGAGATGGAAGTCTCTGGAATCTGCTGTAAACTGGAAGAAGCTGGAAGACTGCTGATGTTGTATATTCTAACACTGAACCACTTCAAAAGTAGATGAGACTTCGAAAGATAAGTTGGAAGGCAACCTTCCAGTGTATGGCTTCCATGATCCCGAGTCTTTCGTTCTTTCAATCCAAAAACCGCGTGTCATAATTATGCTTGTTAAGGCTGATGCCCCTGTTGACCAGACCATCAAAACCCTATCCATTTACATGGAAAAAGGAGACTGCATTATTGATGGTGGTAATGAGTGGTATGAGAACACAGAGAAGAGAGAAACAAATGTCGGAATTGGGTCTGCTGTATCTTGGAATGGGAGTTTCTGGTGGTAAAGAGAGTGCTCGCTATGGATTCTCTTTGATGCCTGGAGGTTCGGTTGAAGCTTACAAGTACATTGAACATATTCTTCTTAAGGTATCTGCACAAGTTCCTGACAGTGGCCCCTGTGTTAAGTAGTTGGCAAAGGAGGATCAGGCAAATTTGTTAAGGTGATTCATAATGGGGATTGAGTATGGTGATATGCAGCTGATTGCGGAGGACTATGATGTTCTATAATCAGTTGGAAAGCTCTCTAATTATGAGCTTCAACAGGTTTCTCAGAATGGAACAAAGGGGGAGCTTCTTAGCTTTTTGATTGAGATCACAGCAGATATATTCGGAATTAAAGATGATAAAGGAAATGGGCACCTAGTAGTCAAGGTTCTTGACAAAACTGGCATGAAGGGTACTGGAAAATGGACTGTTCAGCAAGCTGCCGACTTGTCGATTGCGGGACCGATGATTGCTTCATCATTAGAATCAAGATTCCTCAGTGGGTTAAAGGAATTGAAGCTGCCAAGGTTTTCAAATCTACTGGGGTCAGTGACATCCGTATTGATCAAGATGTAGATAAGCAAAAGTTGATTGATGATGTAAGGCAAAGCACTTTATGCATCCAAAATATGTAGTTATGCCCAAGGAATGAATTTAATCCCTGCAAAGAGCACTGAGAAGGGATAGGACTTGTAACTAGGGGAGCTTGCCAGAATTTGGAAGGGGTTGCATTATTCGGGCGGTGTTTTTAGATCGTATCCCTGAAGGCTTATGCCAGGAACCCTGAGCTTGCAAATTTGCTTGTGGATCCAGAGTTTTCAAAGTAAGTAATTGATTGACAATCTACTTGGTGAAGAGTTGTCTGCCTCGCTATAAAATCAGGTATTAGCACCCCTGGTATGTCTTCAAGCCTTGCTTATTTCGACACATACAGGAGGGAAACCTGCTAATCTAGTCCAAGCTCAAAGGGATTACTTTGGTGCTCATACATATGAGAGGACTGATATGCCTGGCTCCTTCCATACTGAGTGGTTCAAGATCGCTAAACAATCAAAGATTTACTGTTTTGATTATTTCTTCTCAGATTGAACCATTGTTGTCTTAATAATTTCTGCATTGTCATTGAAGGTGGTATGTGGTTCTGCCATTGCTGGTCTACTACATATCTGAGATTAATTTTCATGTATATGAAGTCAAATCATGTATTGTCTAGTCATCTATGCACTGATGTTATTCAGTTTGAGCTCTAGTTTATTATCAAGCATATAACCTGAAACTTTGTTTTCTTTTCGTGTGCTACATGCTCTACTGGCATTACTAAGATTTCTTCAATTTACTCTGGGAGAAGAACATGTAATAATATTTATATTCTATTTTTTTGTCCTTTTGTAGGACTGGGAACTACTCTAAATGATCATACAATAATTACATAATCTATGACAATTGAAGTATTCACAGAACATCACGAGACTTATGGAAATTAATGAATCTCAAGAATCCATTAACAATCTTTTATGGTTGTATATGATTCTTACAATGTGCATGAGCATATTCTAAAATAAATCTATCCAAGAATTCATCTTATCTTTGATTTGACAAAAATCTTCTCATGTGATAATTTGTCTCATGGACACTCTTCCTCTTTCTTTCTTTTGTTCGCCTAACTAATCTTTCTGCTGGAACAATTTTCACCATCTGCATTGTCCTAAATACTGTTGGATCCCCCCCCCCCCTCCTCCCAAATAAAAAAGAAATAATGTTTTGACTTTTTTGCGATTTTGTTTAAAAAATTTTCCCCATCATCTGGTCCATTTGTCATATCCAATGTCATCTTCATAAAAATATTCAGTATCCTGATTCTGATACCTCATATCTGCACAACCACATGAAATGTTGTTTCAATTCTGGGGAGTATATGACTGCAATTATTATCCATTATCTAACCATTTGCAGAATCATGTAATTAATCAACTGCTGAAATGACTTGGAAATATGTTACTCTCCTAGAGGATGGAGAAGTGGATGTGAGGGTGAGATACCAGTTTTCTCTCTGTATTTTTGGTCTATGAGAGATTTTTGAGAAGAGAAGCTCTTTATTTTTATAGAGAAAAGAACTGCAGACAGAGGACTGTAGAGCACAATCCATTTAAGGACTATATACCAATTAGAATAATTCATGGATGACTCCAAATGGTCAAAATGTATTGAGGGTTTGACATTTTAACAATGCTGTTTTGAGTTACTTCTGTCTGATAATGAAAAGCCAAAATCGATAAGGAATGATGTGGTTCTGCTTGACTTACTCGGTTTATAGTATTTCGTGCAAGGATAATCTTTACCTATGTGGGCTAATATTATTCTCTACAGCCAGTGTATTCTGAGCATCAGGTCGAATAAAATATATAGGTTCAAATGCTGTCACTAATCTACATTTCCTGTTTTCTCCCTTCTTTGAATTCGTCTCAGCTTCCTATACACGTGCTTGTTGAAAATGATGAATCATAGTCACAAGCGGATGGAAAGTTGGGTGCCTTTATCCAGATTTACTTTTGAAATATTCTGGTTTTGGAGAAACGGAGAGAACAGTACTCATATTTAGGAACAAGTGTTCGACTGCATCAAAGCCTTTTTCTTCTAATGCATATTTTCGAGATCAATCTGAGTAGCATCTGGAACATTGAAGGGTTTTCTTGATCATATAACAGCCTTGAAAAAATTTAGCGGATGAGAGAAAATTTAAGTCCTTGAGTAATATTTATGTTCACGACATAGAACTGAACTCTGTGAACTGAGATTTGTGTGATGAATCAAGAGAGAAAACTTGGCTGAATCTGTTTCATGATATTGCATTGAATTGGAAATCGAATACTACAAATTCTATTTAGAACTTTAGCATTCATGGAAATACCTTATAGGGCTAGAATAGATTTAGGCAGAATGTTTGGAGGATAATTTTTGTTTCATATATATATATGCCTCGTTATTTTTTCTTGGATCTGCCAGCACTGTTTGCCCTTTGTCCTGGCTTGATTTTTGCTGCTTCTATTTCCTCCTTATATGTTTTCTTCTCTTCGTGTTGGTGATGTTTCTTACCAAACCATTTTCTGTGATCTTTGTTTGCTGCATAGCTTCCTCCAAACTTTCCAGTTGACCATTCTTGAAGACTCGGGCCGGAGGAGGCATCAGAAGCCATAGAGTCATCACTTTCACCCTCTTCAGAATCATGAGCATCAGCTTTTCTATCAATGGTACGATCTTCATCTTCAGCATCGTCTTCATCATCATCATCATGTTCTGGTGAAGCAATATAAGTTGTCCACCCGGACTCGTTACTGCTACAGTCTTCATTGTCTTCATCTATTTTAGAGGAATCCATTCTTGCTAAAACTACAGAAATACCAAAAATAAAAGAAAAGGGGGAAAAACACACAGATTAACAAGAAAAGTAATGACTTTTCCAAATCGAATACTATTGTCAATCTACAAATCTTCCTGCAAAGAACAGTCATATTTGATAGTGCATATAATACCTTCATTATTGCAGGAAAAAAGTAGTGATTAGCTGTCAGCAGCCCCCATAAAACTTTGCCCTTATTACTAGAAGACACTTTACAGGCAAATTAATCCTATTAGTAAACAGAATTAAGTTGTTTTTATATTGAAGATGCTTGGAACTACCATCTTGTTTATTCAGCTGTCTATCTCATAAATATAAAGAAGCTTTTGAAATGGGAATACAGATGAGCCCCACTCTATAAATGACAAAGAATGTATAGGATCAATGATTTCAAATGAGCAGAAGAGGCCCTCTTTGGTAAGAATACCTTTAATTCTCTGTCTTCATCAACCAATACCACCACTCCATGTGAATTATTGCAGTGAATCCAACTGTGTTTTGGCATATTGTATAAGGTTTTATTGGATTAGGGTTTTAGAAGGTAACCCCTTTCTTTCTGTCCTTTTTGGCCGGTGATGTCTTCATCCTCATAAAGCAATCATTTTTTGTCACCAGGAGGTAATAACATTTATAACGGTAACTAGAATTAGACAGGACCTAATGGGATGATGAAATCTACCTTACCGAATATGCCATGGCCCATGAGATAAATGCTGTAGTTAAGGTTTGCAATCTGGACACATTTTTAATAGTTCTAGTGGTGAAATTTAGATCATAACAATTTTAAACAAGGAAATATAAATCTATAGGTCTAAATCATGAAGGAGGAAGACTGTGGCAGGTCGAGGCAGCAATGAACTATGAATGATGAAACCATTTATGAATTTATTGAGAATAAAACCTGGTCGATGTACAAGTGAAATCAATTATAGATGGATTGGTGACAATCCTCTGATGATATTCTGTTCTGATTCTTCACTGGAATGTTCATCCTTTGGCTTATTATCTGTTTAGACTAAGACAAGAGAGGACCCTTTGCCTTGTTTTTGGTCTTTTGGGCTCCATCTCAAGATGATTTTTGGAAGTTGTCAAATAATGGGACAACATTTCCTTAGCTGGAGATTTGATTCAACTTCTTGTTTGCTTGCAAAGGTGTGTTCTTCTTAAATGCTTGATTATGGCAGCAAGGCGATGTATGTAAGAGGTTGACACTTGGGCTGTGGGAATGGACAAGTTAGTGCTGAAGCCTTTGTCAAGTAGTTTTCAAAGGTATAAATATGAAAAATTTGAAAGACACGTCACTCAGTTCTATTCGAGGCCTATATCACTAGTTTTCATGTATACTATAACGACATATAAATTATATAAAACATGTTCATGTATCATCAAAATAGAATTTATTCAATTCGTGATTGTAGCAAAGATGAATGGTCAAAATTCTTATACACTGATTATTATTTTTATAATTTAAATAAAATTTTACCCTTGACACACCGGACGACTCATTTGAGATTTGAGAACAATAATTTTGAATCTTCTATTTTGTCCTCATCTGAGAAGATTAATCTTAATTTGAGTTCTCATTTGAACTTTTAACTAAATCAAATTGCTCATTTGAATTTTTTGCACTTTAATAATCTAATGAAATCGTGATATTCCATCTTATGTTAACTATTTAAAAAGAGAGAGTAGTCCAAACCTGTTAATCATTGTTATCATACTTACTTGTGTCGACTTTAATATTTCAGAGATATAAAATGCAATTCCTTGCTGCTACGAGCTTGAATTTACTTTTAGAGTTGCTTCTTGTACTTTCTTTCTACCCACTACATGTTTCCTCTCCATGAGTATTCAAACATGTTCTTTAAAAATTGGTTGATTTTGTGGATCAAAGATTTGGTGATTCTTCTTATCTATCGACCAGTGTCGGTTTTAGGTACGATTATTGTCCTGTCATGTCATTGCCTCCTGTATGTTTTCTACACACTAGGACAAATTATTAGGCACCAAGTTCACCAGATTAGGAAAAACGTTGACAATTGTTGATACTTTGATCGGTTAAGTCAATTGTCAAAATAAATATGTTGGGATTGAGTGTGTGAGAAATTTACGGACAAATTTGGCTAGAGTTTAGAAAAATGAATAGCTTAGTCTTTGCCTACAAATAATTTATAGGGGAAAAATTCTTGTGAATTAGGTTAAGATGTTGCATCCCTAAATCTCACGTGTAACTTCTCTATTGGTTTAGAGGCCCGATTTGTTGATGCTAGCTTCCTTTGATGTGTTAGTTTCCTTAGCGAATTGAGTTTCTTTATAGAGATTGATTCTCTTATATTTTTCATGATCCTCAAGAATCTTATGATAATTTGTAGGAGTTGATAATATAATTTCCTTCTTTTTCGAAGATATCCCATAACTCCTCTCGGAATCATGGATTCGAAAGCCTTGGCCGCCCCAGCCCTAAGGACTTCACTCAAAGCATTCGATAGGGATGGGTTTGGCTGGTGTTTGAGGTTCATACCTAGTAAGGATATTGTGCGAAGACCATGAGGGATGACTCAATACCATCAAAGGCGAGGCATAATGGGTGATTCTCTCTCTCTCTCTCTCTCTCTCTCTCTCCCCCCCCCCCCCCCCCCCCCCCCCCGCCCCCCACCATAATGAAAAGTTAAAACAATTATTATTATTATTATTTTATTGTTTGTGTGCTCTTTAAAATAAGGAAAAAAATTATTTCTTTTGTGTTATTTTTTTAAATATTATTACAAAATAAATTATTTTACACCTCCAAACGGACTTGTTTGATAGAATCGATTATAAGATATGAGATGTGCTAATTAATAAAATGTTGAAGATAAGAATGTGTAAAAAATAAAGTTAAGGATGTAAGAATTATAGTAAGCAAAGATTGAGGACTTAAATGAAATTTAAATGTGGTGTAATAAATACCTAATATAATTATCCAAAATATTTTTTATTTAGTACATAATAAAGCAAAACAAAAGTTTAACCCTTCTGCTATCTATGCATGCACTCGACCTCTAAGGTTGAACCATTGGTCCGTCTTGCCAAAGTGATTTTATGCTTGGAATAAAAATATAAGAGAAGAATTGATGATGTCATGAAGGGTAAACTTGGTATGTCAACAGACATCAAAATTTTCAATTAATCTACAAGTACAGAAATATTTTTTTTTTAACAGAATGGGTGCAGAAAGGCTATTGGCAAAAACTATTTTTAGCAACAGATAATAACAGGAAGACAACTGTTTTTCTTTACAAATTCTGTAAAAAAAAAAAATGTATTTATAGTATTATTCCAAAATTTTTATAGAGAAATTTAAAATGGATGTTTATATTGATACCAAACATTTTGTTTTTGGCACTACATTTAATCCCTATTTGATATAAATTCTTTAAAATTCATTTTTTTGTAAAACTCATTTTCAATTACAAATTTTTCCAATAAAATAATTTTACACGTTTCCTTATTTTTAAATCAAAATTCTTCAAGAAAAAAAATTATTTTCTCAAAATCTATTCTAAAAAATCTACATTAAATGGTTCCTTAATTGCATTGAAAATCTTTAACTTTTATTCGTTATTGTACCTGTATTCTTAAATTTTTTGGTCGCAATCTTATCATTGACTCTCCATTAATCAATATGTATATTTCACAGCAATGGTTACTTCTTCTTTTTGAAGTCACTTAGTCCTAGAAAATGGTTTTTAAGGCTTATGCGTTTACCCCTACCTTGTATATAAATTGAAAATATTGATTATACCCCCCGGCATAACCCAGTAGTGCAAAAGATGGGAGTGAGTAGTCTCAATCTTGCTGGCAGTCACAGTATGAGGGTTCGATTCCTAAGATATAGAATTGGACTCTTTGTGGGTATAGTATCGGGCAAGTTCTTGTTCTCTGACCTATTGAGGCACATCCTGCGATTTACTTCCCTCACGAATTGAGGGCCATCATTTGAGTTCTTTAAAAAATACCCATTTTTCAATTTCATGTTGAATAAATTGAATTAATGCTCTTAATAAAAATTTCTTATATTTTTATCTATATGTTAATTCTACCCTTATATATTTAATATACTACCATTTAATATAATTTAACTTCATTTAATATCATCTTAAGTGTAATACTTATTGTTTTATATTGGAGTACTTAAAATTTTACATTAATCAAATTAAGTTTAATTACTTAAATTACATNCTCATTTTCAATTACAAATTTTTCCAATAAAATAATTTTACACGTTTCCTTATTTTTAAATCAAAATTCTTCAAGAAAAAAAAATTATTTTCTCAAAATCTATTCTAAAAAATCTACATTAAATGGTTCCTTAATTGCATTGAAAATCTTTAACTTTTATTCGTTATTGTACCTGTATTCTTAAATTTTTTGGTCGCAATCTTATTATTGACTCTCCATTAATCAATATGTATATTTCACAGCAATGGTTACTTCTTCTTTTTGAAGTCACTTAGTCCTAGAAAATGGTTTTTAAGGCTTATGCGTTTACCCCTACCTTGTATATAAATTGAAAATATTGATTATACCCCCCGGCATAACCCAGTAGTGCAAAAGATGGGAGTGAGTAGTCTCAATCTTGCTGGCAGTCACAGTATGAGGGTTCGATTCCTAAGATATAGAATTGGACTCTTTGTGGGTATAGTATCGGGCAAGTTCTTGTTCTCTGACCTATTGAGGCACATCCTGCGATTTACCTCCCTCACGAATTGAGGGCCATCATTTGAGTTCTTTAAAAAATACCCATTTTTCAATTTCATGTTGAATAAATTGAATTAATGCTCTTAATAAAAATTCCTTATATTTTTATCTATATGTTAATTCTACCCTTATATATTTAATATACTACCATTTAATATAATTTAACTTCATTTAATATCATCTTAAGTGTAATACTTATTGTTTCATATTGGAGTACTTAAAATTTTACATTAATCAAATTAAGTTTAATTACTTAAATTACATTATTTAAATTAAGTTTACCACTTAAAATCTAAGCAAAATATATTAAATGTTGCATTAATATAATCATAGATTAATTATCATATATAATCATATTTATTATATTTTTAATATGATTATGTATGTAGACGAGCTTTGATTTTAAGTGATTAAACTTAATTTAATTAATCTAAAATTATCAGTACTCGAATATGAAAAATCAACTCTATACTTAAAAGGAGACTACGCGAAATTAAATTTTAATTAATCTGCCATTAATACCACATTTAATTTATTATAATGTTATTTTATAATATACATGTATGTATATTATATTATTCATTATTTATATAAGTGAGTTTCACTTAAAATTAGTGTTCACCTACTTATATAATTATATTTTAATTACAATATATAAAAAAATAAAATGTGGAAAGAGATGAAAAATGTTCAATTTACCATTCTGTCCTTATATAACATTGTCAATATTTTCATTCAAAATTATAAATTTCACGTTTAATTAATGAATAGTTGATAATATAAATATTTAAATACAAATGACAATAAATTGAAAAGAAAAAATTGCTTAAATGAGGTCAATAATTATGAAGGAAAGAATCAATGATCGATAAATTATCCATCAATCTTAAAAACCTTATTGATTACTCCTAATAATTAGGAGTTACTTACACTTCCCATATTTGTATCCACACACTAAATTAAGCTTTGCATATCAGATTCTCAATTACATATTTTCACTAGATCCATTTTTTTTAAGTATTAATAAAAATTAATATTATGTGTTCTGAAAAATAATTAATATAGTATTGATTATTTATTATTGCGTGTTCATTTTTGTATAAGTATAAAAATTGATGGTAATCCTGTTACTTATTAGATATAAATATATAAAGAAAAGAAAAATATTTTTATCTCGATACATTTAAATGGAGAAATTTTATTCCTCCATTTGTATTAATGCCATTCAAAGAAAAGGAAAACTTTTGTTTAAGATTTTTCACTTCGACATCTATTTTGAATGTAACTTTGATTTCTAATTTGAAATAAATGATCTGGATAAATATGACGAGCATGAGTAATGTGTAATTTTTTTTCTAAATATGTTTATATAAGATACTTTTTTATTTTTATTTTTTAGGTAAAAAGGTTCATGGTACAGACAAAATGAGTAATTTTTTAATTTGAAAAATATTTACGTACGTTTAGTTTACTTATACGTAAACATTTTAAACGTAATCAAATGTACATCTTTTAATTTGATTTTTCTTTGTGTCTATCTGTATCATAAAATTGGTAGATGTGCTGTAATAGTTGAAAATAGGTCCAACCA